GAGAAATTGTCCTAAACAGAAAATGTAATTATCTTAAGACTCCAAAACAGACATTTATAGAAAAATTCCTTTGCAAAGCCTTGTGAAAAGTTGCTTTTTATTCATCTGTGCTTACAATATATATGCATACTTATAGGACTGCACAGAAACAAGCACTTTATCATTTGTTAATAGGTGAGTGATTTGGGAATTTTTCTGTCATTCTTTCCCCCCCAAATCAGAGCACAGTACACTACATTCAAAAAGGAATGATTACTTCAGACATACTGAATTGGGTCAGTAAACACAGGTTTCTTGTTTTCATATCAAAATAAGGCACAGGAAATCAGATTTGCACAGAACATGAAATAAATTATTTAAATGTGAAATAAAAATAAAATATGTTATCATTCTTCATGTAATTTCTAAGTCTATTTTGAATGAAATACAGTAACTTCAAGGCATTTAAAAGTACTTTTGTATACCTTTTAATATGCAAATGTTAATAGCAACTTTAATATACAAATACTATTAGTGTAATACTGTAAATAAAACTTGAATTATCAGTCTTGTATTGTCTTTTCATGTTTTGATATGTTTTAATTTTCCCTGTACTCTTATCCCCAAATCGCTATTTTGAAGTAAATAGTGCAGTATTCCAGGTAATCTGCACAGTGCAGTGAAAAACTACTGAGGCTCCTGGAGATACATCAAAGGAAGCTACAGATACACAATGAACAGAAAGGCACACATTAGAGAGATCAGTTTTTATCAGATATCCTCACCGGTCAAACACCTCATGTTCTACTGAGGGAATCTGCTATGTACTTTCTTCTGCTGTACTGTACTTACCTGATCCTGTTGCCAAGAGCAGATGGGTGCATTAGAAGAAAATATCTGACTAAACAAAGGGATGAAATATGCTTTTAAACAATAGGTGCTTCTCCTGGAAGTTACAAGTGTTTTAACAGGTGTAAATGTGTCAATCATTTACCTTGTCCAAGTAGCCCACGTTATTCTGTCAATCACAGCCTGGTCCACAAGCTGTTTTCCTGAAGGCACTTCATAGACTTGCCTTTTGTAAGACCCAGTAGAGACCTTTGAGATGACCACAGAGAATTTAGAATACATGAACTTGTTTGAAAAGATGAAGAAACAATTCTAAAGCGCTTTGAAAAGCATTTTCTTGATAGTTATCTTTTACTCTGTAAGTAACTTATCTATATTAATAAAATTTGCTCAATGAATTGAAAATTCTCAAAAATCTATACAAGCATAAAGCAACAGTGAAAAAGCATAAGAAATCATCAATTTTGAAATGCCTAATTAATAAAAAAAAATTGAAACATCTTGCATTCTGCAGATAATATTAACCGTCTCTATATATTGCGTGTTAGTATGTATGTGTGTATAAGTAAGGCAAAATAAACTCGTATCTTTAAAACAGACACAAAGGTATTCCTCTCAGCCTGCAGATGTTGGTCTGAAAGTGAGAGAAGCTTATTCCTCCTCTCAGATGCGAACAAAGTGTAGAAAGCAAAGTATGCCTACTTTATTTTGATTTTAAGAAATGTCCTGAGCCCTGTGGCTGGGAGTTGTAACACCATGATTTTGGTGCTGCTGCACAAAGGCCAGCACTGAAATGACGTGTAATGCTACCGTTCTGGCCAGGGATATGAAGAATTCACAGGTCTCTGGGGCTTCCAGAATGATAGACTGTACTCTTTTCTCTTTTAAGATAGCCCATCAGCATCACAGAGATAAAAAGGCAGGGAGACACATTACAGTGATTTTGAAATCTGTTTCTCTTTTCTATGCTTATTTCTTGCATTTAATATCCAGGATAACTATTTTCATCATCCACTTATCACTACAACAAAGTAATAGTCTAGTGACAGTAACCTACTACATTTCATTACAAAATTTAGCAGCTGTCAAAGCAGAATACTTGCAGAGTATCTATCTTGAGTATGTCTTCCATTTAGTATCTTGAACAATTAATGACTGATACCTGGAGATAAGAGCTGTCTGCAGAGAAGTCCATCTGGATCACAAAACTTGGGATGTCTTTGCAATAGCTGACTCGATTCAGTGTGGGACCCAAAGTCAGATCATAAAAATCCACTGCATTCTCACTGGAACCGACTGCTAAGTAACGAGAATCTGGGCTAAACCTGAACAGATAGAAGGGTTTTATGAACACTGATCGGCACTAACAACAGATTCTAATATTGGAGAAGCACAGGCAAATTTGCATTTCAAGTATCTGCTATCCAGATCTGAAGAGGGAGGTAGAGTATTTTGTCTGCTAAGGAAAATAACTTTTGAAACAAATAAAATTTTCAGGGAACATAAATGCAGTAGAAGGTGGCAATAATTTTGGTACAGCTGTCACATATAAGTGAACTGGAAACATCTCTGGAATAACTCTGTTCATTATTTGATCTCATTACTCTCACAACTTTGTGACATGCCCCTGATGACTTTGACTCTCTAATGCTATACTTACAAGCTACAAACTAGAAAAATGAAATGCTGTAAATGAAGAAAAGCCAGACCTTCTAGATAAAATGTACTGAATAAAAAGGTGTGAAATAAAATCTTTCATCTGCCCAATGTATCTTTGCACAGTGGTTTCTTTCCTCCACTTTTCCTTTCTAGTCTTGAAACTCAGTAGCTTCCTGAGCGGAACAAATTCCTTACAGCCCCTTTTGTATTACTAGGGAAGTTTGTTTATTTCTATTATCTCTGAGACATACGTTGGGACAGCTTTTTAATTCCAGCAAGCCCCTAACTCCAAGTGGGGTTCTCCTGCCTTCTTGCAGCAACATCCCTGTTTGCTCGTATTTCTCCCACTCACCCTGCTTTGCTCTCCAGAAGCTTCCCTGAGCTGATGACAATCAATTTATCTCACAGAAGGAACAGTCTTGTCCTCCATTCAGGAAACAGAAGCAAAATTTTACTTCTGCTAACTCCTTTCTAACAAAAAACATTAAAGAGCAAACTGACAGACAGACATTTCCATCCTCACTCACAATCCAGTCTTCATCTGTGAACTTCTGATCTCATTTTACCGCCTACACATCATCTCACCCCGCTCCTTTTCACACCTTCTCATCTGCCCCCCCCCGCCCCCCTAATTAGGATGGTCTGTTCCTATTGTCCACTTACTTCCCGATTCACCCTTCATTTTAACTAACCCTTGGCAATATCATCTGACACTCCCCCTATGGTACTGCCTGTTTTTTGACTGATTGCTAGCTCTTATCTTCATGTACCTCCTCCTTCCTTTTTAGTCCTGGTATCAGAGTAATCACACAAACTCCACAATTCACTCATCGATTCCAGATCTCTGAAATATCACTGCAATGCTCCTCAGAACATAAAATTTTATTTTTTAAAAATAATACAGATTTCTAGAATACTACAATAGACAAAGGCATTCTATTTTCTGACCTGATATCTTGAATAGCTGATCTTCTGTCCCTTTTTTTCCCCCAAATTTTTAGAGAAGTCACAAGCAAGATAATAAATTCTCCATTTTTCATGCCAATAGCTACCATATCGCCTTCTGGGCTGTAACAAACAGTACGAGCTGCGTGTCCTAAGCTGACTTTGTTCAGCATCTTCTGTGAAGAAATAAAAACCCAGAAGAGTAAATGTTTCTATTTGTTCATATTTAAAAAATACCTTATGCTAACAGTTTGCCACTATCAGATGGATTATTCTCAGAATACATTAAAAAACAAGTTTCAAGTCCTCAACACCACCACAAGTCTAGGATTTTTTTTTTTTCCTAAACAACAACTATTCTCCAACACCTACCTTTTCAGCGATATCCCAGAGTCTTACTGTGCCATCTTCTGCAGCAGAAAGGAAAAAATCTCTGGACGGATGCGTTGCTAGGCCCCAGATTGGTCCATCCATGTGACCATTAATTAGAATGTTACATGCAGCATTTTTCTCTCCAACTTCGATTATTTCGGCATTTCTTGTCCCAACGAGAATCTTCCCCTTGAACAAGAGGGAAAGAATTCTCTCTCATATAATACATTAACTACTCATGATGAACAGTAATAAAGATATAATCCAAAGCTATAGTTCTGTCAAGAAGGTTTGCTGAAATCAAGTAATCAAATAATCAAAGATAATTTATTTTTTAAACTCATCTATGATTTATTGAAGTACAAAGCTGTATATAAATCATGAAGCTAGTTGAGTTATTGCTTGTAAGTCAGATATTTGAAGTGTGAAAAGAATAGAAAAGAAATCTTTAGTTAGTCTTTAATAAAAATACATACAGAATATTATCTTAAGTAAGGCTAAGATCTCCCAAAGTAGATTTTTTTTTCTGCTGTAAAATCAGTTGTAGACACCTTCTAGCTCAGCCTTTAATTTCAAATACTAATGATAAGAGAAAGAGGAAGCAAACAATTTATCACATACTTAATGCTATAGATCAATCCACAAATTATAAGCTTTATTTTAAAGACATGATGCTTGCTTTACCTTGCCTCTACAAACAGAGCGAACGCAGTCCGTCATTTGTCCTGTCTCTAGTCTGAAGGCACGACATCGTTTCAGCTCTTGATCCCATAGCTTAACCGCTCCTCCTTCCTTTGATCTATCAAATCAGGAACAACCATGAGTATAATGGCTGGCACAAAAAAGACAATGTGTGAAAGAACTATATTATTTAATGTAATGTATTGTAAACGAGGCATTTAAGTATGTTTTAAATCATTAAAGATTCCATTTGTTTTTACTGAACAGGTGATGTTAGTATGCTGAGCCTCCTAGCTAAGCAAGAAATACTGATTCAAAGTCCTTGTCGTACTACTTTACAGACAAAGTTGAAAGATGGTCACTGCTAAGCTTAGTCTGAATTAGCAGCTCTTGGGGAATTTGTCTAGTCAAAGGAACAGTTAAGTGTGTGAACAAACTGCCATCTTAATAATAAGACAGGCAGAGATTATCAAAATATAGTTGAGGGAAACAGGAAAGAGATGTATTTTACTACTGTGAAATAAATGACAAAAGATTTTCACTTTTGTGAAAATTTCATTATTTTCACTGCTGTGAAATAAATGACAAAGATACAGGAGAAAAATCACACAATGTTAATTGCAGAAGATACCCAACTAATAAGTGTTAATCACGAAAGCACTAAGTATTTTCCACCCACTTTCAAGAGAACTGGTATTTCAGTAAAGAACACATTAAAATAAAAAAAGTTTCTAAAAAGGAGATAATGTTTAATGAAACAGTTATAAATCTGGCATTTCCAGTTGATATGTCTTCAGAGAGAAAAGAATCTCCCCCAACAGAAAATACAATGTTCCACAATATTGAGCTGCCAGTGTTACAACTTTGATTACTGAACGAACCCTGACAAAGAACTCCATAAAGTTTAATCACAATTACTGCTTTTGTATTATTATTACTAAAAGAAGTGAAATGAATTGTAAATCGTTAGCCCTTGCAACGCAATATTCTTTGCTTCCCCATAGCACTGTTTTGACATATGATTGGTCGTCATACTCAGCAAAAAGTTTTTATCAAAAGAGGCTGGTGAACTGCAATTAAGAAAGCCAAGGCAGAAACAAACATGCCATTTTCCTAAATGTAGAATTTGTTTTGTGTACTTTCAATACTCCATTTTCCCACAGGAGACGAATTATTGTTTCTTACTGTTATTCATTACTGTTTCTTTCAGGTCAAATACTAATTATTAAGAGGCTTTGAAGCTAAGGTGGGAGAGAGAACATTCTCCAAATAAAATCACGGTGATGTTTTATAAATACTAGAAGAAAATATTTCAAGCACAGGAATAAATAAGTTTTCAGCTGGGTCTGAATATCAGGCAGGATCTTTAAGGACTATTTAAGGAAAAGGTAGTAAGTGGCCTGTGTCCTGCAAAATGGGGCACTATCATGCCATCAGATGGACTGTATTACAGCCGAAGCATTTTTTTTTTCCTTCTATCATTAGCAAGGTGCTAAGAAAAAAATTAAAATGCTTGAAGAGATATTTTGCTTACAACCCCAGAAACAAAGGATGCTGCTGTACCTTAGATTTGAGAGAAGACAGTTTGCCTCTGCCTTCATAACTAAACAGATCCTTCCTTTAAAAGAAGCTGTGCATTACACTGTTATAATATTTATCATTCATTTATTTAATCACAGTTGTGCAAATTACTTGGGTTAACAACCTCAGTTCAACTTCAAAAAAAGAAGTAACCCACCAAGGACTAGGTAACTTTTTAATGCTTAAAGCTATATTTCAAACTAAAGGTTTTTGCCTTCTCTCAAAAATAATACTGTTGTGATAAATACCACTGAACCATTTAGTAAAATTACAAGGTGATTTCAAGGCTACTTTTGATTATACTAGTTCAGCCCTTTTCAGCTTAAGGAGGGAGAACTGTATCATCTCTTTGATAATTCATGTATTTGTACCTGACTGATGTAATGCAGTATAATTCATAATACAGTGTAATTGATAATCCATTCACATAATTTATTTTACACTTGCCTATTATTTTTAACCAAAATAATGTAAAGTCGTCATAAAATCCCTGAAGAAGCTTGCACGTGTGCTATAGAAAGATGACTGTTATCTAGACGTTAAAATTATGAAGAACTACTTGTATAGCATTTAGATTCTGATTCATCCCCCTTGACTTTAGGTACTTAAGCAAAGCACCCAGGTCAGGATCCTACCCACTCTAGGCTTTCTCTTACAATCAATGGAAAAAAATAGGTACTTGAAGTTCATGTGGGCTTACCTGCACTTTGGAGGTGGTGGCTACTTTTTTTCCTACCAACTATTCAGGGATCCGAAAGTGATTACTCTTCTAGCTTTGATGTCTCAACTGCCTAGTGTTAGATGGGATGAAGCCAAACCATTTTTAAAGAACACATGTGCATGCAGAAAAAAGAAAGAAGACGACTCACGGCCTTTCTTTGCCTCCTGTAACGATCAATCCATCTCTTAATGTGGTATACATTGTGAAAACAGGTCCATTGTGAGCTTTGGCCACAATTCGTATCAACACGTGATCTTTCCAAACACAAACATCTCCACTGATAGTACCTGTAAATGTCAAGTTATTCTGAAAAGGGGAAAAATATACTCATCATCTGATCCCGAGTAAGGCAGGAAGAAGAACATTCAGAAATAAAGATCATCACCCTTTGCTTTTAGGCTAGATTGCTTTTATTTGCTGCTGTAGAAGAGCAAATTGTGGAAGGGGTAATAAGAACCTGTAGGGACAATACAATGAGCTACTATATTATTTCTTGAAGTCTGAAAGATGCTTTCTTGTAGCTAATAGGCTCTGCACTGCAAGAAGAAAGGCAATGACTTAAACTTCAGCCATAGGGATATCTATGTTTCCAGCCCATCAGGTGTGGAAACTGTGGTAAAAAAGTAGAAAACCAAGAACAGTTTTGACATTTCACACAAACAGGCAATTTGCACCCCCATGCTATGTACATTATGCTTGCATTCATTTTTGTTGTTAGGTGAAGGTACTCACTGGATTATAGTAACCATTAGTTTACGAAGAAAAGTCTGACTTAACCCAGAACTAAAAGCTGCCTCCTCTTTACTTCTGCTTTCTGTTTTTGAAAGGTAATAAAATAAATTTAATTACCTCTGAAATTTAAAGGCAATTTATTAGGATACACTTAAAACCAACAGGAACTGGTTACTGAGCAAAACTGTTTTAGTAACTTACGTGAACAATCCTCAAATTCAGTATGATGTGTAATATTTTAGAGTACCAGGACGCATTTATAGATTTGGCAGGAACACTTTCCTTGACTGAGGTGGGTTGATGTTCTACATCCTTTTTTTAAAGGGGTGTGTGTGTGGGTGCCCTAATAAATGAGTAAATAAAAGAGGACTGGAAATGAACTTGGGAGCAGATCCTCCCTCTGATCGTCCTTACAGCATAACTGTTGGGCTGTTTCCAACCCCTCTTTAGGAGCACCTGAACTAGCTCCTTCTGACACAAAATCAAGGAAGAAAAGCACTCACAGAACTGCTCCCTACAGGAATTATGGAGAACACACCAGGTTTGGTTTTATTCAGTTTGCTCAGCTTTTTACAAAACCCCTGCAAGCTTTGCATCCTCCAACAACCTCATACCATACTCCAGGACATTCAGCATACGGCCTGATTTTCATGCTAAGAATCTGTCCCTCCATAAAAAAGTTCACAGGGTTTTTTCAAACCCCAGACTAATGCCCGGGCTATGCATCTCTAACAGTTATCGTTTGGAAGATACCTTATTGCTTTGTAGAACCCTCTCTTAAATCAGAGGTACCTGAGAGAGAGAGACACCACTCTGGAAGAGAGATAGTCTCATGTAAAATGAAACCACAGGCCAGTTACAATTTCAAAAAATCAAAATCAATAGTATAAATTCAGTCTGGACCCAACAGGCAGATCAGCAAGCAGGACAGTAACACAGTAACGCAATAAAAGAGAAGCACCACTTCACAAAGGAAATCTGTGGCTATCTGCCCAGCTGAAGAGATGAATGCTGCTCATACAGAGCAACTCCTGAAATGGCAAAGACATGGAACTTAGCAACAAGGCCCACATCTGTCAAAAAAAAAACAAAAACAAAAAAACAAAGCAAAACAAGACCCTACTGCAGTCGTCTAAGAGTCATAGATGTTAACGAACGCCCCAGGACAATGCTGCTCTCAGATCACCCATAAGTAGTAACGCATACAGATTATAATATAATCACCCCTAGGTGGGCATAAAATTAGCCTCATTTGTACTGTTTGGTTCCTGCAGTCTAGAGTCAGCTTTGTTTTACCTGAATTAAATACCAAGCAGCGTATTACCAGTCCAAAGAACCTATGTTTGTTTCTTTTCAAAACATACAAATCCATAATCTTTTTTCTTTTCTGTTCTAAAGAAAGCTGGTATTAGTTCTAACTAGCAGGCAAGTATTTGAAATGCTAAACTGAGTTTAATAAAACAACTGACATACTCATTAGCAAGTTATGAAAGTCTCATTGAACTGAATAAAGGCAGAAGAGTAAAAAATTTTTTGTTTGTATGCATTTTGAAATAGTTTGTTAAGGTACGTACCGCTCCAAAAGCTACAGACAGCATAGTTTGCATTCGGGCATCTTCTATGGAGCTCAGCATCCCTTTTTTACTGAGAAGAGCTCTTCCAGCCAATGTCCAGAACCTCACGTGTTTTACTCCCACAGAAACAAACTGGGTATCTGAATCTGGTCTGAATTCTGCTACAAATATACGCTGGTTATGACCAGCACGGCTGGCAATTTTGGCACCTGGCAAGAAGAAAATGGACATTTTGAATTCCCTGAGAAAAATATACATTTATGGTTAAAAAAAAAAAAAATTATGGAGAACGATGAGTCATCCAAGACCACACAGGTCGTGAAGAAAAGCACAAACTGCTCCTAAATTAAAACTAAATTAAGATGCAGGGAAAAAAAAAAATCATTTAATAAGACCCAGTAGCAAAGTGTAGCACCTAATGAAGGTGCCATCTACTTATAATTTTCAATTTCCTCATGTTATAAAAGAATTAGGAGCTCGGATCCAAGTAAATTTCCATCTCCTCTTAAATTCCTACAACCGCTCTGAAAATCCCAAACTCTGGACAAATTACAAGAGACTAATGAATGACTTCTCTGCAAATTTTGTCCGAAGTTAGAAAACTTTCTTCTTCCTGCAGAAAATGCAAAAACTGACTTTGGTAATGCTTTTCCAGTCTCTTCAGAGGTGTTAAAAATCAGACATTTTGACCCATATGAAGATTCCTTGATCTGGATCCTTAGCTGCCATGCTGAATCTGTATCAACTCTTAAGAATGAGCACAGGCACGTTCTGACTGAAACGGCAGTGAACTGCTGCATGGGCTTTTACCACGCATCATTCATACTACCTAAGATTGTATAAATACGCAATTTGACATTGTGTCCAGCTCCACAGGATCTAGCAGACAAACTGTGAAGGATCACTTTTTATTAACTTGATAGCTGATCTTTAAACTTCTGAGAGATACTAGCTGATCAACGGAAATCTCCAAAGAGAGAGGAAATAAACCCCTAAGACTAGAGAATCAGTTTCATAATCTGGGCATGGCTTTGCCAGACAGAAAGGAGATGAGGAAAGGAGCTGACCAAATTGCTTTAGCCTAAATCCTGAACTCGGATCAAAGCCAATCTGAAAACATGTAGTATAGCTTAAGACACCAATTACATAGCTGCATAGAGGAGCTGTACTGGCATCACATTCCTGCAATTTGCAGTTTTGGGGGGATAATTTTAGGAGTACAACAACCTAGTCAGTAATCAGTCTTTAGAGAAGAATAAGAACAGAAAAGAACAGCAAATTTCTTCTGGGAGCAAAAAAGATTTTTATAAAGAGTTTTTACCAAGCAGCAAAGAAATGACTGGGGGGGGGGGAAGAATGAAGAGAAATCAGTGAACTATCTTGATCTTTACACAAAACAGTTCCAGGAGATATATTTAGCAGTTATTAGAATTGGTAAGTACATTTATCTTACCTCTTCTTTACAGTGCATAGCATTTATTGTAACGATTTTTGATCTGCTGATATTTTTATGTTATAATTGCTCTTGACTCAAGCCAACATACCTCTAACAATATAAACACATTCTACAAAAACAATCACTTTCCTACCTTCCTGCCACTTCCAAATGGTAATTGTATGTTCGGGATCCAGCCCCACGGAGAGCAGCAGTTTGCCAGTGGCACTGAAACTGACTGAGCAAACGCCCTTTGAATGGTAGCACCGCAGTACCGACAGTGTCTGCTTGTTCATTGCATCCCACACATGAATAGAAGGAGCTGTAGCTACACAAATATAAAACATGTAATTAGTATACGTTTTGAAAATGTCTAATGATTTGCTTATTGAAGCAGTTAATATTTTTTAATAAGACAAATAAAATTGTTCTGGTCAGACGGAAAAAAGAAAATAAAGAAAAGAAAGGAGATTTTGGCCTCCCTTTGGAAACCAATTTACAGCAAACAGGATCATTAAGTAGGGCTAAGGAGTTGGCCGCATTACACTACTGGAGATGAAAACTTTGCTTAACCTGTTACTGGACTTCTGAAGCACAGCAGAAGCTCTGAAACCAAGCCATCTTCTCCTGTTTTTCTCCTAGTAAAACTTAGCTCAGCATGCTAACTCAAAAATCTTCATAAATATTGAGTAGATCATCAAGAATGTAATTTCTACGTGGACAACTGATAGCTACAGAGAAATTAGTTTACAGTGCAAGGCCAAAATCTCCTTTTCTACAAAATGGCCATCTGTCTGAAATGCATGCTCTCTTAGGAGAACGTCAGCTGAATAATCAGCTTGCTTACTGATGTAGAAGAACTAGGGTATTTAATTTAGTTTGCATTGTTTAGACTGCAAGCTCTTTGCAGTAAGAACCATCTTTCCATGCTACTAATGTACATGATTATTTCTATTATGATGACAACTAGTTTTTTTCCGAACGCAATGCCTTCTCCAAAGATTTTGCAATCCATGTATAGTTTGCAATCTCTGAATAGCATCTAGGGCATTTCCAGGACAGTAAGATTCTCTCTCAAACTTCTTTACTCTGATCTCTGCAGTGTGGGGGTTACCAGTTATTGTCGTAGACCCAGCTTCACATAAACTAAATTCTATTTCAGCTCCTTGCTTTGTGTTTCTAATCAGCTAAATCTAGTCCCTCAAAGGCACACATATGATGGGAAACAGTAGGCACAGGGACCTAGGTAAAATTTTAGCCACATGACACTAAGTTTTTGAGCACAATTCCACAGCTGTTCCAAAGCAGTCTTTAGAACAATCTTCCTAATTTCTTCTGCTTCCCTTTGGACTTTCCTCCCATGGCACCAACATGCCATTATCATCACCTTTTGAGAGGTACCTACAGCATAGTATAGACATGCCATTAAAACAGAAAGGGCAGGGGTTGGCAACAACTGGCATGTCTCAACATTTTCAGCAAACTCCTTGCTGTCCTTATAGAAAGCTAAGGGAAGGGAAAGCTTTATTATGGCTCTGAACTGTTTTTTCCTTTTCAGCACTCCCCTTGGAAAACTCTGTATTGCTCTTGGCCTGTGCACCTCCCCTGTAACCTTGGCCAAAATTTTTCTTTTGGGTGGCAAACAGAAACCTTCACCTAGATTTCATGAATAAGAACTGACAAAATCTTTCAGAGCAAGATTTACAGGACAGAGAACACGGACTCTTGAGTCCTCCTACTTGACAGTGTTCTTCTGAAAGACTCTGTCCTGACCTTGCAGCCTGCTTGTGGAGTACTCCAGCTGCTCAACATCTGCTCTCACAAGAGAGATTTTGTAAGGTGTCATCTCCTTCTGGGAGAAGTTACATAAAGCTACCATGGGATGGCAGGACAAAAAATATCTTCAGTAAGATGAAGCAAATCTATACCAAGCCATTATGAAACTTAATTTGCCATTCCAGCCTATTACAAACATTACTGCTTCAAGAACCCCTGCATCACTGTAGACAACAGAAAATTGGAACTAGAAAAGCAGAAGTTATCAGTAAGAAAGGTGCCAAATAGCCATTGATAAATTTTAAGTGAAACTACGCAACTTTCTAATGAAGGCAGGCAGCAGCTTGGATTCCAGACTAATGGTGCCGCAAAGAAGAAGAAAATAAGAGTGCTGGTTTCAGGCAGTGACAACAGAATTTAGTAATATACACAAGCTCAAACTAAAGTTGCAGTAGGAAGAAGGCAAGTGAGAGAGGGAAAGTCTCCAGGCATTATATGCAGGACTAGAGATGTTCTTTCATAGAAACAACCATATCATCACTGCTTCTTTGATACAGTTTAAAAGTGTGGGAAAAGGTACCTATATTCTTCCTCCCATCCTTAGAGCAAGCACAATTTGGCATATTTAAAAGAAGTCAACACACATTAAAAGTGCCATTGTACATTTGTCCTTCACAGAACAAGCTTTAGATCCACATGAGGATTATTATACTTTCTAGATACACACGAACACACATTTATGCATCTCTGAAGATGTGTCACAAGACAATTGTGGCTGCTCCACAATGAACTCACTCACACATGATGGTGATGAATTTTTACGATTATAGTTGAAAAAACAACATATTAATAAAAAATAGCTCAGTCAAGACTGTCAAACTGTCAAAGACCCAAAATGATACAGAAAAAATTAAACTGACATCATAACAAGCATTTTGGATCAGTGGTAATAACTGCATGACAATCATACATAAACGTGAAAGGTGATTGTTTTTTTCACTCAGTCACCTAGGCCTCCTCAATGGGATTTACTTTAGAAATGCATATTTAAAATTATACTCAATTGAGCGTCTAAAACAAATGTTAATTGTCAGCCCCAACATGTCTATGAAACCTGCAAGCGTACATAGGAGTGCTACAGTAGCAGTATGTATTGGAACTCACTAATCACTGGGCAGCAAAAAGGGAGTATGTTACAACAAAAGTAGTTTTTAAGAGTGTTCTAACATTTTAATTGTTTCTATATTTACAATTTGCTGAGCTGTTGTGGTTTATATTCAGTGCTGACAGTAATATGACTGATACAGGGTTTTAATAAACTAAAAATGAATTCACGTCACTTATTGCTCTATAAAGCTGTAGATGGCTACTAGATAGGCTAACTACGCCTGAAGATGTTAAAATTTTATTTCCCTTACCTGACATATCTGCTGAGTCTCCTGTAATGGAAAAGCAGCAGAAAAATAATTAGACCAGAAATAAAATAAGTGCTAAAGAAAATATATGCCACATTTAGTGTAATTTCTTAACACACACCTTGATGTCATCTCTTTGCATTGCAGCAGCACCAATACTGCTTTTAGTGTTAAAGATGAACAATTACTGATAAAAGGCGGTCACATCAGAAATAAAAATTAGTAGAATGAATATATTTTGATTTTCATTTTGAGTTACAACACAAAAATCTAGTTTTGGTGTATGTTAGGTCTCTGCCAAACTAAATAAAAAACGTATTTTACATGTTACTCATATTTTAACAAATTAAGTGGAAAAAAAATGCTGATTGCTATTCTGCTAAGAAGTAATGTTTGAGTCTGATCTTGACAAGTGGCAAATACCCCCAATGTTCTTCTATAGAAGCATTAAGAAATCAGGATTATAAAGGTTCAGGTACTGGGAAATATTACCGAGACACTACATAACCGCATTACAGTTTAAAAATATTGAAAATAATGCTTCTGTAAATCTTTTGAAGATTTAAATCATGATGGTGAAGCTATGTTTGTGTCAGTCATATCAGTAGGAAAAGTAGCAGCATTTAAGTATGTTCTTTATGGAGTATGTACTCATTAACATCTGTTCAGAATCTAAAAATAACTTTTGTTTAAAGATATTTTGCTTCCAGCCCATTTTTCCGATTTCTCTCCTTAAAAAGTTTCTTTTGTACTTTAATTTTTAAGCGTCATCTGCTCCTGATTTGTATGCCTTAATCCACACTACAAAACAGTTAAAATTGTTCTACTGCTAGTTGATGTAGAAATGATTATGAAACAAAAAAGCATTAAAGGTCCTGTGTTTCTTCTTGGGTAAGACGAACACTGAAGAAAATCCATGCAAAGAACAAATTTTCACATTATGCCTACATTCTTCCCATATATTCTATCATATGGAAAGGCACACAGGGCCAGAATAAGAAATACGCTGAAAAAGCAAATTCCTGAAGACAATAGAAGGCCTGTAATTCCTGCAAACGTTTTTTGCAATCAAACCATAGGCAAAAATCTGCTGGTAATTTTTTCCATTTAAATAATTTCCTTTAATGATTTCTTTAAATTGATGTGAGGCAAGAAACTCACAAAGAAATGAAGCTATTTTAGCTAAGCAGTTACTACTATCAATGAGTCAATTTTAATGAGACATGCACATAAAAATTCAAAAGACAGAGGGAAGCAGGTAATAAGCTGACAAACTGACCATATTTAGATGAAACATCTAAAACAAACCTACAGAAAAAAAAGCCATTCTGGCTAAAATTAACTAAGGGTTTTTTTGTATTCTATGCACTAAGGAAAACAATGTGTTTTTGAATCTGCTGAGAAACAATTGAAGGTATGAAAACTGCAATTGGGTTGTAGGACTACAAAAGTTACACTATTCTGCAAAATTTAGAAACAGCAGTATTAGTTCAACTATGCAGATGCACAGTGGGTTTTTTCCTTTTTCTTTTTCTTTTTTTTTTTAAACCTGGTTAGTTCATAGATCAATTTTAATGTTACAATGAAACATGTATATTTCCCCCCTAAATCTGAATTCATCTGTAGGGAAACACTATTAGGGTTTTGGTTCTGCCTAGAATATTACAACTATGTATTATCAAAACAGTAAGTAGGTATTATAAATCTGCCTGATGAGATAAAACCTACATAAAGTGACATCTATTTTAAGAATTCTGGGGTTAGTCCATATAGAAGTGAAGGACAGCTCAATTAAGCTTCTTTGGAAGGGCTATGACTCTTTGGAAGGCCTAACACAAGCTGATAGTTAAATAAAACCAGATTGATTTCATGGGGCTTAAGATTTCTAAAAAAATATTTTTTATAACACTCCAAACAAAAGATAAAGTTAATCTTCTTACATGCCTCAATGTTTTTTGTTCAACTCTATTATATTACACTCACAGAAACATATAAAGAGGACAGGTAACTGAGTAACACTCATACAAACAAAGATAGCGTAATCAACTATTTTTGTGATTTATCGTGAACTCACAAGGCCCTAATTGCATGCTCTTATGTTAATTTCTTTTTACAAAAATACAAACATACCTACTTGGCCAGTTGCCACTATATTGGTAAACTTGGGGTGCTGATTTACAGTGAGGCACAAAATATCATCATTGTGTTCCTGGTAAAAAGACTGAGAGCCTAAAAAAAAAAAAAGTCCAACTTTAATTAAAACATTTATACACACACAGACATGGCTAATGTTTCAAACATTTATAATATTTGTTAGAAAACAGCATTATGGTGATGTTGCAGTTTGGAGCTTAAAACCAGGAAACAGAAACTCCTGATTTTTTATCTCGATTTTAACATATAACACTCAATAACTCTGAACTTTCCCCTCAAGTTTTCTACATCAAGTTGCTTAAATATCACAGAAACAAATGGCATTATGTTACTCCTTAAAAGGAGTAAGTTAACCTTAAAAGGTCTAAGTTATCTAAACTAAATTGGTTATTGGGAATGAATGTATGTGATACGGAGGACTGAAAAGTAAGCCAAATAAAAAATAATTAACTTAGTCTTAGAAAAAACATTAAACAACTATAACGACCCCATTGTTCAGCTGTTTTAGTCTGTGATCATTTTAAAAAGCAAATTTCAGAAAACTAATACCAAAATAACCAAATCTTTACTTCCTTCAAAATTCAGTCACCAGGAACATTTCAATATATTTAGTTTGCTTATGCAGCTATTATGAATCATCTCTACAGACTGAATTTTCAGCAACAAATAATAATTTTCCCACATACTTCTGTAAGATTTAAAGCCTACCAGTCACTTCATAAACTGTAACTCCATGTGTGTGAAGAAACATTTTTCCTCAAGTGGGTTTTCTCCTACCTGTTGCCACATTATACAAGATCCCAACAGATGCAGTATGATATATTACATCAGCACCATCATTCAAATAGTGCACATTGTTTCTGCAGTCCCTGCCTCGGTACCCAAATACCAGCTCCAAAATTAGGTCCTAAAAAAAGATATTTACATCTATTAGATAATCAAAACCTTAAAGCAATTATGAACTTTACCATCTTTTCCAGGATTTTATTTTTCAAGTATGTCCTTATGCAGTAAAAGAAAAGGAGTTTAACGGTCTCAAACCAACAGAAACTGAGATCCTGCCTTCCCTGTCAGCTTACATTGCTGCTCATTCTTGCCATACACAGTCATGTCATCCTATCATCTCTGTTTGGTGGATGCTGTAGAATATTTATGTGTATACACACAAATACATATACACAGAAAGATACTCATACACATGCATATAAATAAATAAATTACAGTGAGCCAAGAAGAACACAGCTCTTCTGATGCAGAAGATACTAAGAAACAAAGAATGACAAACATTGGTCCACAATTTAATTCCAGCTGGCAATTAAGCAAGCTGAATTACAGCCTAAAACTTCTAGAACACTGATGGCAAAAGGCCATTTATTAAGCTACACCAAACATTTTGTTTCATATCATAGAAAAATATTTCAGCTGACATGAAGAACTGCATGTTTCAAGGTCAGATGAAATTTCCACTTCAGATTAATCAAAAGTGAGTATATTTATTTGCTTTGGCCATGTACTGAAAAAAAAACAGGTGCCGGAGCTAAAGGCATCATTAATAGATTTTTAAAAATTATTATCTTTTTAAAACTGGTAACAATGATGAATTTTAGACAAAGTTTTAAAATAAATTTTAAAATATTTTGCAGTAAAAGATACTTATTTTTATTAGTGATAATACACACATTAACAATCCAGTTATCTAAACAGGATATATTGCTTTCTACATACTGCACTTAAAAGGTTTTATTATTACTAAGAATTAAGTTGTGCTCCATTTTGTTTGCAGGAAAAAGTAGTATTAGGCTTTTTGGAGTTTAAAAAAAAGATTCTCCCACTTTTTTTGCTATTTACTCACTATTAAATATTTCCATCTTTGATACATTTAAAATGAAACAATCATTTAGTGTGTACACAAATGTGTCAATTTCTGGCAAAAAAAAAAATCCTAAAAGGAGAGGAAGAGGAGATCAGTGTTTTTCTTACCTCTATAGGTCTCTTTTTTTTCCCAACATTATTTGTCTGAAGTTTCTCAGGCTGTGGCAATGCCCTACTAACTGGTGGTCTGAAATAAAGAACTGTGAATAAGAGAAGGCTGTCCGTCACCCATTCCATACTAACACAGTACCTTCCAACCTGCTACTGCATAAGGAAAACTTACAGCCCTATCCTGCTTAACTGGTATTTCTATACATCTTTAAAAGAAATACCTCCGTCAAAGGGAAAAAAAACCCCACCTTTGTTTAACATGCTAGGTTTTCCAACAATTCTTCAACAATCCATGAGGTTAATGCAAAAGCTTGTTTTACAATGAATGACCACTGATACAATATTCTTAGCTTTTTCATGCTATATTTTTAAGGTACTTCCATCTTCTCTGTAGCAATTTTTATTGGATAAACTTTAAAGGCTTACCTGATTAATCTCAATACTTGAGAGGATAATTCCTGTTCCCACATGCCTTCAGGAGGCCCTAACTTTTCTTATTTTTGTAATAGTTTGTAAAGAACCCCAGGTACACCTGCCCATTCACTCTTACATCAACCGAAACAAATTATTAATCAATGCTTAGTTGGAAGTAAACCATCACCATGCAAATGCGTGAATATTAGCCATGACATATGTTCCACTGTTCTGAATAGTCCAGATTTAATTAAGAATCTCAACTACATATGTTTGATAAATATCTGTAACTTATCTTTCAGATTATGTTCAACTGTTCATATACAAAGAAACATACAAACAAATACATTTTATTTACCAAAATTATGCAATTATTTCTAGTAATTTGCAGGAGCATTGGTTACTGATTCTATATTTACTGCATATGTGGCCACGAAAAGAAACCAGTAAGTTTGACCCTTAAGAGGAACAATTCATTTAAAAATAAATTCTACGTATAGATTCAATTAAATCCAGATGATTTGATCCAGTAGGCGGTGTGACAAACTAATATCACACATAACGCAACAGGTCAGCTTTCTTTCATACTCCCTTTTTAGTATGAAGTATTTCTAATTCCATCCATGCTCTTGAATGATGACTTTGATGCAAAATAATCACTGTGTCTTTTCTAAGAACAACAGACTATGATTTGTTTGTACACTGTATATTTTGAACTACAATCGGAAAGTATTTTTTCAGTTATTCAAATAAAATACCATTTTCTGAGCTTTATTCCTCCATTTTCCCTGCCTAATTTTAGTACAATTTACAGATTGATGTCGTATCACCAATCAAAAGATTTGTACATATTATAATGCAAATTATACTGCAACTATAAACTGTGTTCTGAGATACTTCAGTTACTTCCTCTACGCTTAGAAGCCTGTAAAGTACCTATGGAAAAAAAATTTACAAAAGAAAAACAGATGACGGAAAATTTCTGTCTGGTAAAGAAGTCTGTCAGATGCCTGGATCACCCAAACATGATCAAGTTTATTAAAACTGGCTATTGTGTTAGATAGGGCCAGAGGGAGGTACTTGAAATATTTAATTCAGCATCATAAATCTAGATTTTATGAAATGTAAAGTCTTCACAATAGGAAATCCAAATCCAGATCTAAAAAGAAATATTGCTACTTTACACTGGATAGTTAACATAATGAGTCTTTTCACAGGGAGGGAATATGGGCTGCATTAAACAAATTCTTATCAGAGCTAAGTATGAAATAATAATTTAAAGTTAAAAAGAAAATTCAGGGCATCAAGGAAAATAACTAAGGCTCATATTTCATATTCATTCATAAATAAGTGCAAATTAAAACAAAGAACGCTAATTGAAGTATGGAGAAAGACTTTTATAATTTCACAAAGAATGGCAGTTTAACACTTGCTTTTTGCTACTCCAAAATTCTTACTCTTGGAAAACAGACTTCTAATAAACTGGCAGTAAAGGCAAAATCTGGGGACATCTACCATATACAGCAATGCAGGTCAGAAAAGGAGTCCAATGTGGACATGCGCTAAAGGTCTCCTCACTCAGAGACAAAATATTAAAAGATAGCAGCATTTAAATACACTCTTTCAGTCCTGCTTGAAATGCATCTGGTGGGAATGTACTCCCAGACTTCATTCTTGAAGGTTCTCAGTTACAGATCTTTTTTTCCTCTCTGAGATCTTCAGTTAGAAGGAATTCACATACACCTCGAGATAGAAAAGCAAGGCATTTGAATTTCTTTCTCAGTTACAGCCTAGACCTAGCTCACAGCCACAGCATGCTGTCCCTTAGTCTGTGAAGGTGAAAAAGGATTCTCCTAACTTTTGGAAAAGAGGAGGAAAAGCAAATCAAGCATGGTCTGGGCTGCACTTATTATCTACACAAGCATGTTGGCCCGTACAGGAAGCAAGGAATACATCTGATTTCTGTCATCAGTCCCAACATCCAATTTCATGACCACTCTTGAATCACTACTGTCTCTCAACCTCTAAGTCTCAAGGTCTTAGACTTGATGCAAAATTCCTAGCCTCCCCAGCTATTTTCTAGGTCCTTTCTTCTCTTCTGTCCTGTCACCAGTGACTCCTAGCATCCTCTCATCTAGCCTGTCACATTACAACAATAGTATCGTTAAGTACGATTAAAATTCTCACTTTTTAATTTAAAAAAATAAAGAAACTACACTTTTATTTAGAAGTTTCTAAATTATCAACAGAAAACACTCCCAGTAGGTCTCAATGTTTATCATATTAAGTATATACGGAGAGGTCATCTAAAGTTTTGCAGAGGAAAAAATCTTTCACCATATTTGTTCTCCACCTTCACAGTAGGCGAGCAATTTCAGTTACAAATACATTGATCAAGAGATAACAGGTATCTCTCAGTGCCATAGAAGCCTTCTTATCACTGTATGCTACTCAAATTGAATCAAATCCAATCCAATCAAGTAAAACTACTGATATGCATGAACAAAAATTGAAAGGCATAGATTTGGTATTGGGAATAGGCTTTCTGAAAGCACATCAGTGATACAGAGAATAAAAACCTGCCTTTATTCATTCAAGTAAATGAGGAGACAGAGAGAAACTAATACAGCCCAGGTGCAACTAAAAGTTGCTGGGGGTGGGGGGTGGAAATCAAACAGCTTCATCAAACATTCGAGGTAAATTTACATTAATCTCTTCTCTCGTAAAGAACAACTTTTTTTTTCCAGTATGTTTTTTGAAATGGCCACACTGACCTCCCAAAATATTAACAAATAAAGCTCTGTTTGGGTTTTGGAGTGGGGTTTTTTTGTTTGTTTTTGCGTATAAGTACTGCTTAAAACTGAACAAATTCTAGTGCTTACAATCTCTGAAGTTAAATGGCAAAATAATAACCAGTTCTCTGCCTGTGCAATCAAAAGTCTTTGAAGAAAGAACAGGGTTAACAAGTTAAATGAATTGCACATACCCATGATTATACATATCCTGTTATTTTATGGCTAAGAATTATAGTTATTGAAATATATCTAATACCTGATTTGTGTAACAGGTTAATGATATTAAGAGTTGCTAACCAATTTTTTTCCTACCTACAGTTTATTACTTTAAATTATAATTAGAGTTCCTTAATTCCTTTGATACCTCCATAATTGCTACTCATTTATTAGATAACTAGGAACACATTTATAAATGCAAGAAGTTCCTTAAAAAAAACTTATACAAAAGCGGTTCCTTAAAAACCACCTACATAATGTTGACTTTAAATCCTTTTTTAAATTAAGCAAACACAACATGCACCTTTCTCTTTTTAAACATGGAAATCAGGAACAATGCTGAAGTGCTGAAAACTGAAAGACTGTACACCAGTGATTCTGTTGGTCATAATCATTAGTTTCCCCAAGAATCAGAGAGGGGGAAAAAAGAGAAACCTATAATAAATAGTATCAATGTTCACTAGTTTTCCACTGTCGTATTACCTCTTCTCTCATCCCATGCCACAGCTATAAAATCAAACAGCAAGTACAGTAGGGAGTATTGCAGAAATGTGAGACTGGCATGCTGTCTGTTGTGCATGCTGCTTCTACTGGCATGTTGTAGAACTCAAAAAGGCTTCTGAAGAAAAAGAAATCCAGCTGTCAATGACATGTCCAAAAGGGCAACAAAGCTGGTGAAGGGTCTAGAGCACAAGTCTTATGAGGAACAGCTGAGGGAACCGGGGTTGTTTAGCCTGGAGGAAAGGAGGCTCAGGGGAGACCTTACAGCTCTCTACAACTACCTGAAAGGAGGTTGTAGCGAGGTAGGTGTTAGTCTCTTCTCCCAAGTAACAAGCGATAGGACGAGAGGAATGGCCTCAAGTTGCGCCAGGGGAGGTTTAGATTGGACGTGAGGAAAAATTTCTTCACCAAAAGGATTGTCAAGCATTGGAACAGGCTGCCCAGGGAAGTGGTGGAGTCAAGAGTTGGACTCAATGATCTTAAGGGTCTTTTCCAACCTAAACGATTCTATGATTCTATATTAAGGAAAAAAAAAATAAAATCACAATGCCACCTTACTCAGCTGTGAAACATCAACACCCAAGATATGATTGCCAGCCTACACACACACCAGTAGAAAAAAACGCAAACCTTCTTGAAGAAAGGAAAGTAGAAAAAGACACTCTCCTCTTACAGTTCCAGAGAGCCTTCCTAGCTGAGAGAGAAGCATAATTTCTGATGCTTTTCAGACAGAAAGGAAATCTTTAAATGTAGTTTCCTTTAGATTACACTGCAGCCAGCACACAGAACAAGAATGTCAGATTCTAGATCTAGTAATCTTGCATAAATTTCTCTACTACTTTGAACAGCAGACTAAGAAGCCTATCAGTAACTAATGCCACTCTTAAAAAAAAAAAAATCTATGAAAAGTAGCACAAGAGCAAATGAAGATTTCAGATCAAAGAGAGGAGATTACTATGCATTACCGTCAAAAAAACCCACCTGATCTGAAGCAAGAAGTCCAAACTGTAGGGAACTGAGTCCAATTCTCTTAGGACAATTCCTAACAATCTATCCATAAAAGTATTTTTATGCCCATCTCGATTTAGAGTTTCTAAGAAGAAAAAAGGCATTCCCAGAAAGGCTATTATTTAGGAGGAACAGTGCACGTTTATCAGTTGTCAGAGGCTAGTGCTGTTTGACTGCTGTTGCAAAGATACATCAAAATCAGAGACTGAAGGAGGACTGCATAGGCCAGGGGACATTCAAGGAAATAAAAAGGATACATCTAAAACAGCAGAAGAAATCCCTGTAATTACATATTTGAGGTAAAGAAAATGAAAAGTGGGTTCAACAGGTTTTTCCCTGAAAAAAAAAACCAAAACACAACACCAAACCACCAAAACTAAGCTTAAATAGCAGTAGGAAACTTGATGACCATAGGTCATCCAGACAGCTCTGGAGTAGAAGTGAGTGACTATGCTGGTGCTGAGCAGGCAGGCAGCATGCAAGTGCTGTAGGCTCCATCACTGGTGGTCAGTCCTGCTTTACAGATGGGGTAGGGGAAGATGGAGCAAAACTGCCCAATCCACCTCCTGCCCAGTCCTGCATGCTTCCAAATACGTTATATTTTTAATTTCTGATTTGTCATGGACAATCCAGCAACAGTCTTATTACTGTTGCTCTGGAAGTTGATAAAACACAGCATAAAGAGCCCTTCTTCCACTCATCACCCTTGCATTTGACACAGAGCACTCAAACTCATTTCTCCTTCCCCCCCCGCCCCCCCCTTTCATTTATGTACCTGAAAGAGAGAGGAAAAAGTGAGTTAGAGAAAAAAGGCAGAACAATTAAATAGAGCAGGAGACCATATCTAAAGTTTCATGAAAGCAGTAAAAACTGAAAGGACATGATGCCAGCACAGGTTTATGTTACTGGAACTGAACTGACTGGAAGTGAAGATTTCTCTGCTGCTTGGATCTAGAATGTGGCATTTTTGTAACATTTGCCATCTGCTAATCCCTTGTTATAGAATGGGAGAAGAGGTAGAACAATCTCACGTTATACAACCACTTGAAAAGACCATCTATATACTTAAAGGCTGTACAGATAAACAGATACAAATATAGGTTGATATCCATCCTTAGCCATTCATTAAAGTACATTTATATTCGTACATTACCACACAAAAGAATAAAGTGATTGTATATTGGTCAATAAAACTGGACTTGACAATTTACAGTTAGCTGTATTATCTCACTGGTCACCTGAACAATTTATACAAGTACTTATCTATGAAAGACTAACTCTATATTGATTCAGAGCAGTGGAACTGGAATGCAAATTACAAGCACGTATGTATTTTTTCCCCATTAAGTTTCAAGATGAAAACTGGTGCATTTAAAAGTAGGAATGTTGAAGGACACCAGAATACATTTTCCAAGTGCTTTTTTTAAAGGTGCGAAAGCTGAAGATATTTTTCATTTGGTATTTAATGTGCAGGAAAGCAACTAATGGCATATACAACACACAGTGGTCATATACCTGCATGTATAACTAGCTGCATGCTCAAAAACTGTGTGCCAAAGATGGGAAGGAGAGCATGAATAACATTTTGGGGTGAATGCACATATGGATGGGGTCAGTTTGAACATGTGGAAGGAGAGTTCCAGCCATCTATCATAGGGGAAATAAATAACAATATTGGCACTTTTTCAACGTGAAAATAGAATCGGTATATATATTTTAATATTTGTTATGAGACCATAAAAATGGAATACAAGCATTTTGAAGTAGTTTGTGAGACAAAGAAATCCCTTTTTCATAGTTTTAGACATAGTTTCAATATTATTGATACTGCTACCCATGTTGTCTTATATGATGTTGTATTTCACTCCCTATTTTTATTATTGATACTGAGTTTGTAAACTTATTAACAGAACAAGGGATGGTCGTCTGTGGTCAATATAAACTGCCATCAAATCTTTGAGTTCCATGGTAACTTATGACAGTGTCAATTACAATATTTATTTCTCTTTTAAAAATCCAAGTGTTATTTTGGTCCTGATTTCATAGAGCAAATTATAGCTGTTGGTACAAAAGAAAAAATCCCTTCCTGGGAGGGTCACCATAGCTGCACCTCGTACCTTGGGGGACTTGCAGAGAACTTAGCCGTTGACTTTGCACTAGCCTTCAGCATGCAGCAACTTCCACTGCCCGGCTCAAAAGGTATTGGCAAGCATGAAGTAGAGAATTAATTTTAAAAGTAAGGAGGAGTTTTTTCCATTCACTCTTGGTAAGATTTTCAAAGTCACTTGTGAAACTTTAGAGGTCCGATTTCCATTAGAAGACAAAGAAACCTGGTAGTTTTTAAATACTGCTTCTTGACAATGATTAGTCATAATTATTTTCATGTGTCCTATGAGTAGTAAGTGCCATTTTGTACGCACTAATGTGGATATAGGTAATCTAATACTAATAATTTAGCAACATGTACAGCTTGACATCTCAGGTGAGATTGTCTCATCAAATGTAAAACAATCCACCTTTGAGGTGGATAGCTGTCCACTAGGGACTGGAGAGAGTGCTAATCTCTGTATTTTAATAAATATTACTGAAAAATACTATTTGTAAAATGTAGGCAAGTTTAATGGTCCATGTTGTTAATTTTATATTGGTAGGTAAATAAATATCTAGCTTATTGTATGGAACAGAACTACAATGAATACATATAAATTTAAAATTTGTAATATAGTAAAATTCTGAAGAGTGATAGGTGCATGGTATAGCACCCAACATGACAGATGGCTTTTCAAGGAAAGTGGGAGACGACAGTAAAATATGGACTAGATAGCAAAATAAAAGCATTACCTGGAACCTCTTTTCAGCAGCAGGTGGGAAAGAGAAAAGGATTACTTATACAAGTTTTGCTGAAAGCTAGGTGTCAGTGAATTATTCATAGAAATAATTATTATTGACTTTCTGGTTTGTTTACTTCTTTTTACAACAAGGGAATTATTCACAACTTCATAGATTATGTAAATCTATCATTTGTACAGAAAACTCCCATTCACTTAAATGGGAATTATGAACATGTGTTGGCATGAGAATATAATTCTTTGGAATGATTCCTACTGTAAACAGAGAAAGAAAGCAGAAGCAGACCCAAAAACCTCTGAAGTACATCAAGTGTTTAAAGAGTTGGCAAACACAACACTGGAATTACTCAAAGAAAGGTTTTGCAGGTTTAACTTCCCGAAATGAGCTGATGGATAGAACAGTCAATTCACTATTAAAGACAGATGTTCAAGTTCACTCATAAAAATACTTTCAGTTATACTAAAATACAATCATCTCAGCTAGTCAAAATGTGTGGGATACTGAGCACTGCTGCTATATACTGTTTTTTCATGATTATTTAATTCAGTTTATGTTGACTGAAGATATTTGGGCATCTGTTTCACAAATTTGTTGCACTGAAAGGGTTTTCCCCGTCACGTATGATGCATACTCCTATACTTTGACTAGCAAAAAATCATTATTAACCATCAGAATATATGGGCATGTACAGATTATTTTCTAATATTGGTACTATGCATGAGCACCTTTCATTAGTCTGATTAGCAGGTAGACTTTCTTTGTTTTGATTTGCTTTTCTTTTAAGAACTACCAACCAATTCCACTGCAGCAAAGACACTAGTTATCAGTCCTTTTCACTTATAGGTGAAGCAAAAATAATTTTTCTCTCACCTGTTAGGGAAAACTTTCCAGAAAATTAAGAAAACAGTGTTACCAACTTACAAATGTTTTGGTTTTTTTTTCACCCAATGATAATAATCTGTTTTACTGAATCCCTTCTAAGTAGTTTCAACTTTATTCTGCAATGCAGGACTGATGCACTATTTCTTCATACAGGAAACAGCTAAACCTTTTCTCCCAATAAAATTCAAATGCATCTTAAACAGGTTTTACAGTCAATTACATGCAATTCTTCAAGGACTACAGAATTCAAATATCTTCAGATATTTTTCAGAATAAGCACCATGCAGGGGAAAGGAGAGTTTCTAGAAGAATGGAGCACAGTTTTCTCTTACAATTTTCCAGAGTACACTGAACCAAACGTTCATATAGTCAGAGGAAAATGTTTAGCTTTCATTTGGCAGTTTCAATTCTTTAATCTCCAATTCTACTTTTTCAATCTCATGATTTAAGTATGGAACAAGATTTTCCACATGGACCACATGTGACAGATCTAATTATTAGCTGGTAAATATTTACATATATGGAGACATGATAGGATGCCTAATTTATGAAATCTGCCTTGTATCAAAGGCTTTTGTGCTGTCTTCATCACTGAAATATGCAAGACTTATTTGCAGCTGTATTCAACCTATCTAGCAATATGCCTGTGTTTCAGTTACCCTTTTCTTGAGGTCTTCGATAAATGCATATTTTGTCCACATAACTACTTAGGTTCTGTTGATAAAGTCCGTTTACACAGATCATAACCCAAATACAAATCTTGCAACCCTCATCACTGGGCCATGCAATCATTCCTCTAGACATGTCTTTCCTGGTCATATCTGATTATTTTAGTTGCAAAATGAATAGGTTTTTTTTCCTTGCATTCAAAACTGGAGATGATTTGGTAAACCTTGATACTTTGGTAATTGGCTTTTTGATTTCCTCAAAGATGTAAGTTAACTCAGCTTTGGGAGAAAAAAATCATTACCTCAAACTGGTAAAGGGAGACCATTCCTTTCCATAATGTCGTTCTAGTCTATCACTAGTGCTCAGAGACACAGTAATACAAGTAACTAATGATAATCTTGCTTTTGGAGAATGAAATCTCCAGAAATCTCAGGGTTTTCAATCTCAAGGTTAATGCCCTGCACTAATGTACATTCCAATGTTCAGAAACCGATTCACAGAAAGGTTAGCTTCAAAAAGCCCTGCTTTCTTTCTAAAACTGCTAAAAAAAAGAAGTTAAATTTAAATGTAAACTTTCCTGTAATCTACTTTATTCTGCAAACAGGGTGAACAGAGAGAGGGAAGAAGCTGCTAATAGAAAGTCCCTTGCTATAGTTTTTCATTTTGATTCCTGGTTTCTCCCCCCTCCCAAATCACACAAGCTGACAGAGCGAAACGAGAGGATAAAGCTGATTTTTTACAAAAAGAACTTTGGAATTTGTGCTATTTACATTCATATCACAAGTCACCAGACTGGCAAGCAGAAAAATCTAATTGCATTCCGTCCATTTATCCGAAACATATGGAAGATGTTTGTATAAAATCTCTGACTTTCAGTGGCAATTACAAGGTGATAATTGTGAGGTTCAGATACAGGAAGACGCATTTGAGTAGCTTCCTCCCTCTCTCACCCTCTTGGAAGTACAATTTAGGTTTATTCACTGTCTGTATCAGGTAAAAAAAAATTCTTCACTTCTGGATCAGTAAAGGACTAGTTTGTAAATAGTTTGTTAGTTCCCTTCCCATTATGAATACACAAGGATCTAAAATAGGTTATGTATTTTTGCATATGTCCTTCCACACACAAAAAAATCCTCACGACAAAAAAACCAAACCAAACCAAACAAAAAACAAACGGAAGCAATTTTGCCCGACTGCCTGTTTTTTAATTGCATCTGGGAGTGAATGCAGAGCATCTAAAGAATTTTCAAAAGATATAAAACACTGCGATCTTCTCATACAAGAGATCTGAGCACGTGGACTGAGTAATGATATGTACTAAGAAAACAGGATAGTGATGACTAAGAGAGACACTCTTTCAGAGGTTTTAGTTGCTTGCAAATCTTTAGTATGGTAAATTTATGGTGAAAAATCAAACCAGAATTCCTGGTTGTTTAGTTTTGAGAACTCTTGGTACAGCCATTCTTATCTAAGGTACATTAATGACAGCATCCTCCCTTTGACAGTGACAAATAGTGAACACTTCAGGGAGTATAAGAACAGAATAAGAATGCAGTGATATTCTCCAGATTCTTCTCCCAACCTCCAGTTATTTGCAGTTCAGGGAGTAGCTGAGCCAGAAGTGTTTTCAAAATTATCCATCCATGATGGATTTTTCTTCCGAGCAATTTACCTACCACAAAAACATACTAGGAAAGAACTTTTAGTAAAGGACAGAAACAGTTTTCCAATTTATTTTGTGCTGCTGAATATCCATAAAGCTATTACACAATCACATTAGACACACAGTAGACATCTTTTCACATAAAAATATTTTTTTAATATTATTATTCAGAAATCATAAATAATTCAAACTGTAGACATAAGTGCTGCCTCACAGCCAATGTCACTTTGTGTTTTCAACAGAAGTTAAAATAAGCATTCCAATGTCAATGATACATTATGGTAATTTTACTACTAGAGAATAGCATAGCATTAGTAGAGGTGGCCTTAAACTACACTGCAAGCAGACCTTAAACTGATTGAATCTGAATGAAATCTTGAGTTCTAGCATCCATAAGTTTTGCAAAAAATGTGCCTGAAATTTAAGGCTTCAACATAATTCTATTCAGCATATCAACTTTTACAGCACTAGCATCTCTTATTTTCAAAAAATACCTGTCCCACTAACTTCTAAAAGAAAGCTAAAAGTAACAGTCAGACTTATTAACTCTAGCCAACTGTCTGCTGATTTTTTCAAATCATTATATCATGTAATGAAGTAATGCTGATTTAAGACTTGGAAAGAAAGTCTCTAAAGCAATCTTTTTTAATTTCAAAACTTCCAATAAAGTGAGAATTCCTGTATGGGAACCTCCAAGAGCAATAAAAATAATTGTTTTTAAATACACAATCAAAAGCAAGCTGAAATAGCTTTGAAGCTAACGCAGTCTTGTAGGTCTCCCATTTACATTTTTCCTCACTGTCCCAAAACAAAGACTGAACAGTACCACTGCCATGCTACCCTTTTCCCTTCATTCTCAGCATCAGTGGGCCATATTAGAATGACTTACTGCCAGCTGTATTCTTTTATAGCTTGCATCTTCTGGTCATGTGTGCTGTCTAGTACTAGAGCCCACCAATCAAGTTGCTTTTTAATTATGGGAACTATACAATAAAACTGCAAATGGTTAAGCCTGAAAGTTGGGGCTTTGTGTGCAGCAAACTATTTCTTCCATTCATCTCTAAATCCTTCTTTTAAACATGTATTGTTTTCTTCTTCAACTGTCTCAAGCAGTAGATAAAACAGACCATTTAAAGCTTCAAAAATATTTACCTTATTATTTTCTTTTGAATACTGAATTGCTTAGATAAGATTGTTAAAAAAAAAAAGTCCCAGAAAAAGTGGAGAAAATCATGTTTGTCCTGAAGGAAAAAAATAAAGGCAGTGCTGCCTAGAAATATGAGTTGATGCAACTCACATCTCAAGTTAATGTGTTAGCCATAAAAATTATTAAGACACAAAAATGTCCACTGCTCCTAGTAAAACTGTGCTGTTGCAAAGGGGAAAACAATTTTTTTTTAAAATTCTGCTATTGCAAGTTAAAAAAAAAAAAAGTAATTTATGAGCAAAAACAGAAAATTGAGAACAGGACACTACCTCTGTTGGAGAACAAAAATAATCCTTTGTTCAGATTCATGTTCTGGGAATTATTAAGACACAGAAATGTCCACTGCTCCTAGTAAAACTGTGCTGTTGCAAAGGGGAAAACAATTTTTTTTTAAAATTCTGCTATTGCAAGTTAAAAAAAAAAAAAGTAATTTATGAGCAAAAACAGAAAATTGAGAACAGGACACTACCTCTGTTGGAGAACAAAAATAATCCTTTGTTCAGATTCATGTTCTGGGAATTGCATTTATATTTTCAATTAAGGGTCACCGGAAGAAAACGATTATGCTATACCAAAAGCAGAATCCCACGTTCCATACTTCACAGAGAAGCTACCTACCCACCAGACTGCAGTGTTTTGCAGCCTCTTTTGCTTATTCTCCCTTTCTGACCCTAGGGATTCTTCCATTCCTTTCTGCAGAGCTTTAGCAAAAAGGAGGGACACTGTTTCGACCCACCTGGTCATGTGTATTTGAATTTTTGACAGACTAAATGGCCTAAACCTGTGATTTCCTACATCATCCTACTACTTACAACATAAAAGGTGAGATCAACTTAACCCTTCTAATAGTATTAGAATCAGAATAATTCTAGTGAATCAATTTTTGGTACCCAGTTGAGTAATTTCTGACTCTATATTCAGGCCACGGTCTCGGAATACAACTCCTGGCCTCGCAGATGTGCTTTTGTGAGAAGTAGGAAAGAGATGAGATTTCAGGTATGCTTCTTCCTTTAGTGTTCTCCTATTGTTTATCTCATTTAATACTCTGGATACTAAAAATCATATTCCTTCTATATAGAGGTAACTTCACTACTCAGCTAGGGTTTATGAATTCCACCACTTCAGCTGTCAGGTACAACAATCTTAAGTAGTAACTACATTTTTGGTATGGTCTTTGAAGTCTTTATACATAACATTAGAGTTCAATTATCTGGTAGTGTTTATCTCCATCTTCTCTCACAGCGAATTAAACTCTTCCTACACTCAACAGTAAAAGAGGTGCAGATACTTTCTGATAAGGAATCTCCTTTATACACAAAGTCAAAATTACTTGAAAGACATTCTCAGAAGCACATTACACTGGTGTGTACCTGTGATCCTGAGAATACACGGATTCCAATAAAGTGTTACTACAAGAAATGTATCTCTTCTAATGTTTGGCAGTCAATATAATAAGCCTACGCATAACATTGAATGCCACAGATGTACTACCCACACTCTGAGCAGTACACCCAAATACCCTGTAAATGAACAAACACAGAAGAAAAGTCTGCGTAAGTTATACAAGCTCTATATAACTTATACAGAAACACTGACTTTACAGATACACATTTTTTTAAAAGCCTAAAACCAGAATTAATTTGATAAAGGTTGTTAGTGGTATGATCTAAAATTTAGATGAAGACAGTGGCTTTCTTGATTACATCAAGTTGTCTGCAGAAGCATACACAGAGATTAACAAAATTCTATCATCTGTCACCACAGGGATGTGATTTCATTGTGGAAACAGGGTCCAAGTAGGTACGACAGGGGTTCTCCTTTCTTAACCAGTGTAGGTCCAAGTGTCCTGGCAGCTCAGTCTACAAGTCTGAAGGGGGGCCTACAGCCTAAGGATTCGTTGTGCTACAACGTGTGTTTTTGAGTATGCGTATATTCTAAAGAGAGTATGTGCAAAAATCCATTATCTAATGCAGACACCTAAGCTAGCGACTCTGCGTATCATACTAATGCTATGTGGACCTAGCAGCTCAGATCCTTAAGTAGTATAGGATAGGTGCACTGTTAAAATGCTGCAGCCGAGTCAAGAAAGCTTCCCTCGTCCCTGAAGCTCCAGGTCCTGCACTTTGGCCACAACAACCCCATGCAATGCTACAGGCTTGGGGAAGAGGGGCTGGAAAGCTGCCTGGCGGAAAAGGACCTGGGGGTGCTGGTTGACAGCCGGCTGAATATGAGCCGGCAGTGTGACCAGGTGGCAAAGAAGGCCAATGGCATCCTGGCCTGTATCAGAAATAGTGTGGCCAGTAGGAGTAGGGAAGTGATCATGCCCCTGTACTTGGCACTGGTGAGGCCGCACCTCAAATACTGTGTTCAGTTTTGGGCCCCTCACTACAAGAAGGACGTTGAGGTGCTGGAGCGTGTCCAGAGAAGGGCAACGAGGCTGGTGAGGGGTCTGGAGAACAAGTCCTATGAGGAGCGGCTGAGGGAACCGGGGTTGTTTAGCCTGGAGAAAAGGAGGCTGAGGGGAGACCTCATCGCTCTCTACAACTACCTGAAAGGAGGTTGTAGCGAGGTGGGTGTCGGTCTCTTCTCCCAAGTAACTAGTGATAGGACGAGAGGAAATGGCCTCAAGTTGCGCCAGGGGAGGTTTAGATTGGACGTGAGGAAAAATTTCTTTACTGAAAGAGTGGTTAAACATTGGAACAGGCTGGCCAGGGGAGTGGTTGAGGCACCATCCCTGGAAGTATTTAAAAGACGTGTAGATGCAGCAACTTAGGGACATGGTTTAGTGGGCATGGTGGTGTTGGGTTGACGGTTGGACTCGATGATCTTAGAGGTCTTTTCCAACCTTAATGATTCTATGATTAGCTCCAACACGGTGGTGCAGACGTGGTGATACTGCTTGTATAGCCACTTCAGACACCTCTGCAACGTGCTCCCTGCACTTTTTATTCCATGTTGGACCTCTGCACCAACACTGTGATACAGTCTTACAGAAGTCCACAAGTAGTTAGGCGAGCTCTCTGACTATAGCTACTTAAGTCAAGCTGTTCCTTAGCCAATCCAAAGTATTGAGGAAAAGAGGATGAGATTTGATCACCTCCTCCCAAATACTCTATTTAGCACCCACTCATGTCTACTCAGACTGAGAACCGGGCTTATTCTTTGTCCCTTATCCCTTTTCTACCCATTGACAAGCTACTATTTAATAACAGAGTTAAAGCCTTCACTTCTATTTCAAAGTATAACTACCTTCCCAAGCAGCTTAAGTTATTAAAATGCATTTGATCCTGGACTTTGTGTGAATGAACTTACCTCACTACCCCCTGCCTTCATAGGAAGCAAAAGGAAAAGGGAAATAAAAATAAAATAAAAATTAGTATCTATCTATGAAAGTAGACTTACTAAAACATTTACCCATTTTACACAATATTAACTTCAGCAGAAGTTAAAATGCATACAGTAACCACATTCTGGTTTTGTTCTTCACAAAAACTTGTCTTTGAAGTTTTAGGGCCACAAACTTTTAAACAATGGACACAATGGAATCCTTTCATGAACTTTCATGCATTGTGAACCAGAACCTAGTTACCTCACTACAGAATTAATTTTATTTAATATTTTATTTAAAACCGGAAAACACAACTCTCTCAGCTTCCAGAAGCAATTATTGAAAGAAATACAAGAGGTTTACAATTTCATTTAAAAAAAAAAATCTTTAATCACAGCTTTCATTAACAAGAGTAAATATAAATCCAAAATGTCAATACCATGCACATTATTTCTTTTTGATTTCCACATCAAATACATCTAATTAATAAACAGAAAGACCATTTTTCATTTTAAATGCAAGATGGGGAGCCCCAGCTTTATATGCAGGCATCCATTCTCTCCTTCAGCAACACAACTTGAAAACAAATGATGACACCAAAACTCCCACAAACATCAGCTCCATTTCTCAACAAGGGCATCACAGATCTGTCAGCTTCACTGCAGAAAGAGGCATGTGTATCGTAACAGAACTCTTCACATTCCTGCAGGAAGTTTCCAATCTGCTATTTCTCTACATCCTCACTCCTAATTATACTGTGTTGTGTTTTCCTCACTTCCCTCTAATATTAGCGTTCCTCAATCGCCACTGTATCGTGTTAGGAATCCCTCTTTCCTTTTTCCTCACATACACTGTCCACACCGATTTTGCTGACAACAAACAACAACTTTCAGGGTCCTGTACTCAGCTGCAGATTCTACAACAGATTACGTTCTAGTGGTTATAAATTCTTTTTCTTATTTCACATCTACTTTACTTGCTGGTCTTATTCTACTTTGCTCCCCACCCCCTTCTCTTCTAAAGCATACGATAGTGAACCAAGCAATCAACTAACACCACAAAGCAATCATTTTCCAAGATTCATTAATAGAAACTGCAGAACCACTGTGGACAGAATTTTTCAAAGAAAGGTAGAAGTTATCTGGAGACAGAAACAATGCAAGCAGAAATTACAGCTGAATTAGTCAGATTAGTTTGTTGGCAAAAACAAACAACTGAAAGCTGTCTTTCAATAAAACAATTGTACAGGTTCATGCCTATAATGCCATCAATAGATACCACTCGGTATTTAAGTTTCAAAAAGAACATATTATCAAACACCACCAAACAAGTCAAGTGGCTCAAGAAACTCCCCAAACATAATAATATATATATATATATCTCATTTACAGTCATTCGTGCTCTCTGAAAAAGTTACAGCCTAGTCGTTAGGCAAGAATTTTCTTAAGGGTTTTTTTTTTCCCTCCAAAGAAATATTTCCACTCTTTTTATACATACCCTTTTAAGTTGCATATATTTTCCAATATAATTATGTTTGCCTATTAATCATCTTTTCAGATTGCTTTCTTGGCTAGAACTGTAATTTAGCAATTACCTTTCATCTAAGGTTGGCTCCTTTTGTTGCAGATGAGGCTTAATTCCAAACATTGGTCTAATGTTTGTTGATAAGGCTTTGATGGTGTAATTAATTTCATTTTCCCTTGTCACATCACTGTCATAACCTAACAAAATCAGAGTGAACAGTATAAAACCAAAATAAGAGACCAGACAAAGAAAATTAAATCATAATTTGTGCAGCTTTCAACAAAGTACTGGACTACAAGAACAATTATACCATGTATTATTAGTAACATAAATACATAACAGAAAGAAAGCAGCTGGGAATAATGAACATTGTTAATAAAAGACATTCTAAGAAAAAAATTCTCTACAGTATCTTTGTGGAAAAAATGATTAACAAAGATTCAAGGGACATTCAAAGCTACCTCATTTCTGCTTGGTTGGCCTTAACTCAGGGTCACTGTTAACAAAAGGACCTTGCTACATGACACCTGCTGTTAAGTTCTGGAAGATTTAGCACCAGGTTGTTCTCAGTTTCAGGATCCATCCATTAGGATGGAATCTACAGGTCTGCACAGGGTTCCTACATAATGCTTAGGGACTGTCAGGCATATCAAGATGATGTTTACTATAGTAAACATGGCAAAAAGGCTAAATAGCGACAGTGTTGTTACTTAGTCTCCATTTTTTTCAAAGATCAAGACTACTAATGCCAATTTTATGAATAGGTCTTAACTCTAACTGAAATTAATAGCACCTGATGAAGAGAAACTTTTGTGGAAAAAGATGTCAATGTCTTTTCTTGTAAAGCTTAACAGACCTCTCTTTTAGAGTATTTTTGAACACATAGCTTAAAAAGGGTTCTGTGTAAAGCACCAGAGCCTAGGGAAGGTTATTGGGCAAAGATGTGCTAACAGGTCACAGGCAGAAGCTGAACAAAAACTCTGAAGATTGCAATTTTTGATTCAGAAAGCTAAAGTTGACCAAGTGCTCCTGTAGGCAATTGAATTACTTTGCGGATGTAATCTTCAATATTTTTAAGCAGAAAGACAGTGCATAAAAATTCTTCTCCAATGAATGTTTAATATGCCTCTAATATTTAAAGTGTCTCTTTGGTCATTCAACAGTTTTTAGTGAAAAGTGAAGTTAATTTATTCCACAGAACTATTTAAAGAGTAGCAGTGATAGTTTAAAAATGCTTGAAGACTGAAGAATTGACAAAGAGGAAAAATTGCACTTGGGAGAAGAAAGAACAAGTTAGGAGGCTCCTGAATGAACCCTTGGAATTATAACATGAAGAGGAACACATTAAGTATGTGTAACCAACAGAAGTTAATTCTACAAAAGGTAATTAACACTTTATAACTACTGATATTATGATCTTGCAGTAGATTGTTCCATATATGAACATCAGTCTACCTCAGTCTACTATGCTTTCACGTTATGGAAACAGATGCTGTAACATCAAGATAACAATGATCTCACATTATACAGATTTCAACATAATTCCATTAGAATCTAAACTGTGATTAATGTATTTTTCTATATAGATTTTTGGAAGTTACCTATAGTTGGCACTTAATATTTTTTCATTTAAAAGATGTCAAGAGTCTTTTTATATACTCTGACTCAAAGCAGTAAGTCAAACACTTCCTTATCATTTTCTTCACAACAGTTTATCAGTCCTTTCCCCAAAAAGAAATTTTATTTAAATTTTTGACACGTCTTCACTATTTAAGATTAAAAATCATATATAAAAATTATTTCTAAATTAGCAGTTTTCCATTAATGAAGTCTTCTTGAGATAGCATAACCCAGCTAGTTTTATAAATTATTACTGACCTCCATCTTCTTCAGAATCTAGATCAGACTCTTCACTGTCACACTGCCTGCTATCCCGATGTCCTTCCATCTCGTAAGTCCACAGCATTAAAGAGGTGTCTGCTCCTCCAACAGTGACCAACAAACTGTCGTCATAGGTCCAACGGACGTTTGTTACATGTGTACTGTGAGCAACATACCTCTTAAATTTTCCAAACTTTCCCTAAGAAGGGAGAAGAAAAGGCACAGATCAAGTTTAATGAGTCTGCTAGATAAAACTGAAATGAGTTGCCAGCGCACAACAACATGTTCTTAACTTCTTTACAGTTTATGCTTCAGCTGTTTTGCATTTGTATGTATCACATGATTTGCCAAGTTCCTCTCCTACAGCAACTTCATGAAATGTTAACCATATTTCCATACCAAGCATGCAAGAATTTGTTTATAAACAGATTCCAGCAATAAACACTGGATTGTTCTTCCTAAGAGAGAAAATAATCGACAGATTAAGAATGAAATGCACATAGAATATTTTGAGTCAATACTTGTGCATTGTTACCATTCTTAGCATGGCAAAATATTTAAAATTGAAGACATGTTTACTGACAAATACACAGGAAAACTAGAAAGGCTTTAGAAAAGCAGTAAAAATATAATGTGCTTCTGGAATGGCTTTTCTATGATGCATGATTAAATAATATTAAAGTGCTTCATCTTAGAGAAAAATGACTGAGGTTGGACAGAATGAAGGTGTATAAAATCACGAGTGAAATGAAGGTGAGGTGAAAATGAAGGTGAGTGAAATGTTCACTGTCTTCCAAAACAAGAGCTTAAGGGTCTAAAAACGACACTGAAAAATCACACGGAGGATATTAATGCCTAAGATATTATTAGACAGTGCCTGTCCCATTCCCATTCTTACAGTTTTTCCTATGCATTTGCCACTGTCAGTGATAGGACACTACACGAGATGGCTCTTTAGTCTGACCTGGAATGGTCATTCTTACTAACTGAAAGTTTAATGCATTGCAAATTGCAGTGTAATATTGAATGCCTTCTTTGATCATAAGGACAAAAGTATAAAAGCACTATTTCGTTCTGAGTGATGAATTTTTACAGTTTTGAAAAGGCAGTTTTATTAATCAATCTTCTCCACGAATATCTGAAAATTACTTACTTTAGCAGGGTATCGAAACAGTTTCACAAATCCAAAATCATCTCCTGTGGCTAATATTTTACTATCACTAGTGAGGCATGAAGCAGTTACATCTGTGACTTCACCAATTATTGGCCAGATTCCTTCACAGCAAGAGCCCAAAACACTTGTCCATGATGCCCAGCCAATCTTTTCTACCTACAAAAACAACCTGTTTGAGACACAGCATGCTTCTTCCCAGGCAGTTTTCTTCCATATCTGATTTCAAGAAAGTCCTTGCACTGAAAGATACGTCACATCTAAAAGATAGTATTTTAACATATTAACCACTTATTTTCTGACTATTCAGGATTTCATTCGAGACCCTTAATTTTACCTCTGTTAACTTCCAGTTCCAAAACCTCTAGAAGTATTTAAAAAATTTTGACCTTACCTGCCCTTCCAGGCTAGAGAAAACAAATCACATTTTTCAACACTGCCTTTCAATGTCATAGAAAATATTATTTGAAAATTTTCCATTTTCACTCTCTGCGCTATGACAATGCTCTATGCCTGGGAAAACGAATCAATACTATAGCTACAATATATTACATTTGCCTATGTACATTATGTATACTATATTGCATTGTTATGTAAAGATAGGCATGAGGTCTTCCACAGCAAGGTTAGGGCTAGTAATCTGCAATAGGTTTTCAAAGGTGTTTAGGTACCAGAAGAGGCATACAGAAGTCCAGTGAGATTTTCACGAGCACTTAAGTCAGCCAAACGTCTTTTTCTTAAGAGACAAATGTGATATCCCCTATGTATTTTATCATTCTGACGTTATCTAATTGAACAGGCTGCAGAAAAGGATAAAGGACAGCAAATGCCTAAACTGAAGCTTTTTCAACAGGCCAGTTAAAATTATAGTTTTATACATCATTCCTGCTTATGTGGTATAGATGGTTGTATCATAACTCTAATTTGCAAACAAGTTAAGAAGGCAGTCTATTTCCTCACCTCCAAACTAGGAATTGTCTGTTTTTTCCCACGAGGAGCTTCAAAGAACAACTGCTCTTTAGCACCAGTGTTGACTTGCAAGAGCTTCCCTATAAAACATATTACATATTGTATATTAACATTAAACAGAAGATTCCATTTTACCAAAAAGTTATTTTGAAATTTTTGTTGCTAACAGCATTACACAAAATATTTGTTTCCATTGGAAAACGTTGCATACATAAACAGTGGATCTGGAAGTATGGGCTTCTGAAGATCTGAGTCCTTTTACCCCTTAAATTCACAGTCCTTCTTCCTCTCTTTGAAAACTGTAATAATGCATGACTTTTCTCTCCTGTTCATGGTTGTCCCATCAGACGGTAGACAAAATGTACTGGGTCTAATTCAGAGCTTGTTTGTGACAACTGGCTGACCAGCATACATGTGCTCTTGGGATTGAGAAACACATATTCTGCCTGGCCAATGGCTGCTTCCAAGCAGCTGACTTCTGCTTGCCTTTATACTACTTCTGAGGGAAATTCTCATTAATGTTTTTATTCTCTTCCTGTTTTCAAAATTCTCAGAGGAAGCTAACTTATAACACACTTTCAAATTAAACCGGACTGTTTCAAAAGTGATTAGGTAGAGGAATAAGAGCAGGAACTAACAGATTGCACAATTGCACTGCCTTGTTTTTGTATGAAACAGGACTGAAGTTAGTATTTAAATTAATCACATATTAAGACCCAGGAAGACAGGAAATCCAGTCTTTCTGCTATTTTTGACAATAAGGATACATATTCCTGAGCTACAGATGCAACTGCATTATGCAGTACATTGTTCAAGAAGTAGAAGTCAAACAATAAACACAGAAGATGTAAAAAAAACCCCAAACAAACCGATCTATAGAGACAATCTATTTTACTTCAAATTGCACAACTTCTAAATATATAAATAGTAGTAAAAATAATATTTTTATATTTATTCAGATGCTGTGAGCATATTCATAAACTGAAGAAACAAATCTGTCAGTGATACCATAAATTCATACTGTAGATGTACTGTATTTAGTCTATAATGTAATCAATCTTCCAGTAGATTTTTAGAAGGAATGCTACTTACCTCTTACGTCCCAGTCCATGTGTGTGATATAGCTGGAGGCTCCCTTGCAGATTCCTACTCGTTTACTGCTCATTACATTGTAAATATCGACAAAGTTGTCACAGGATGCCACAGCTAAGTACTTTCCAGCCCCTAAAACACATCAGTAGAAACACAAGACATTTTCAAAAACTGTAGTGCTCTGTATTTTAAACACAAGTACGTTCTGGAATTTAGCTATATGCAACTCGGATATCTTTGAAATGAGCTTGCTAATTCATACATAGTCCCCGACAGACTAATGTTCGTATCACATAATCAAAATCAGTATGAAATATACAACCATTACACCATTACATCTTCAAACAATAAAAACCATTTGATGACATTTTAAACATTTATTGCACTCAGAGGGCGGTAAAGCTTAGGTAACCAGAAAGTAATGTTGCATGAGAATTGGTATCAGTAATTTGCATCAAATTTGTCCTACAGAAGAGTATTTTCACTGAAGTAGTATTATTAGTTTAGGCCATACATTTGAGTTCCTAAATAAGAGCTGTACTGTTTGAAAAAAACCTAGCCTCACTGGGAGTGCTAAGCACCCTAGGGGGAAAAAGAAGAAAAAAGACGACGCCAGAACTTTCTGACACATAAGTTTCAAGCATTCTCATTAGCTAACAGTAACCTCGGTGAAGAGCCAAACTTATGCAGCTCATAAAGTGCAACCCTAGGGACCTAGGGAGGCTGCTGGATGTTCATGATTCAAAATTGACTGTTGCATTCAGGTGGTTACTATCAGCAAACCTATTCCAATAATCTCATCCTTAAATGAGCAACATTGGATTTCGCACCCAGTATTTTTCAAAATGTTAATATTAGTCTTGCTGACTTATTTGTTACATGTAAAAGAGTACTACAAATCTCTACTACTTCTATCTTTTAAAGGTTATAAAGCTTGCTTGAACAACCTTGATATAAAAAACTTCATTTTAAATCACTTACCAGGAGAAAATCGGATCTCTGAAATAACATCTTTCCTGTGCTGGAAAGAGACTAGATCCTCCAGGGTATCTGCATTAACTATCAAAAAACTTCCATCGTTGAGACCAACGGCTAATGCTTTTCCATCAGGAGAAAAGCAGCAACATCTACCTCCTATGAGGAATACAGAAGTGGCATTCAGGTACATTTACAGTGCATAATCCCTCTTTTAGATTTATTTTTCCAGTAGTAAAGGAAAGCTATTCTTATAGTATATAGTCTAATGAAATTTTTTAGATGTTGCCAAGATCATTTCCAAGCTCTACATCTGTGATAGTACAGAGAAGCTATTGGCAAATGGACAAGTACACAACCCCAGAATCTTAGATTACATTTATTTGCATATTAATTGACATATGTTCTACATTAGTAATATAGCTTAATCACTATTGTCTATATATTTTTAATTTGCTCTCCTTCTTAGTATCTGGTGCCAGTTATTTGTTACCATTTGCTCTGGTAAGGAGAACACAGCTGGAAAAGACCTGGACTCACAGAATCCAGTCGTTTGCTATCATGGTCACTGTGTCATATAATCCTTTTAATAAACATGTCAAGTTTAATTTGAAAAACAGTTTAATTTCCAATCTAAATTTATGGTTAGCTTACATAGATTCGTTTCCATGCCAGAATTTTCCATTAGCATAAGTATTTTTCCCTACTATTTGTTCCTCTGATTAACCTGTAGATGGTAATTCTTTATTTAGCTGACTCCACCACAAAGCTTCTCATTCATTATCCTGTAGCTCCTCTTTCTCCATACTCAACTTTCAATTTAATTTCATTCAGCTGAACACAGATGAGAAGTGTACACCAAAAATATTCTGATTAGTCTCTTGTAAATTATATTAATACTTCAACATGTCCTGAGAAAAATACCTCACTATCACACGTAACTGTCATCCTGCCATCAGCTAGAACATCCTGAGCCTTCTGCTCCTCAGTTACTCCTCAGCTACACAGACATTTTTCTTACAGTCATCGAGTCTTGCTTGTTTTAATTACCAAATATTATCTCATTTCCATTACTGCAGTCTGCAGAAGTATCCAGCTCTTTCTCTACAGTACACAGGTGCTTTTTAAGATCGCCAAAGCATCTCATCATGTGTCTCATCAGGAAATTAAGTCATCTCAGTCCTTATTTTTCTGCCAAAACTACTCTTAAAAATATTAAAATATTAAGAAATATCAGCTTTAAGACTTGAGCAGATTTCACCAACTTGAAACTTTCTTGTTTAATCCCTGCTTGTGCCAGCTCGTGACACTCTTCTTATTTACTTTATCAATCCAAATTATCTTCAGCTAAGCTTCCTATAAGGTTTGGATCAAAATGTGTCTAAATTAAGTCATCTCAGTCCTTATTTTTCTGCCAAAACTAAAAACTAAAATATTAAGAAATATCAGCTTTAAGACTTGAGCAGATTTCACCATCTTGAACTCATTTCCATTACTGCAGTCTGCAGAAGTATCCAGCTCTTTCTCTACAGTACACAGGTGCTTTTTAAGATCGCCAAAGCACCTCAAAATGTGTCTCATCAGGAAATTAAGTCATCTCAGTCCTTATTTTTCTGCCAAAACTACTCTTAAAAATATTAAGAAATATCAGCTTTAAGACTTGAGCAGATTTCACCAACTTGAAACTTTCTTGTTTAATCCCTGCTTGTGCCAGCTCGTGACTCTTCTTACGTTTACTTTATCAATCCAAATTATCTTCAGCTAAGCTTCCTATAAGGTTTGGATCAAAATGCTTTACTGAATGCCAAACAGATAAAGCCTATTGTATTCCTTTGTCTAGCAAAGCATATATATCATTAAAAGCTTGTTAAGGCCAGTCTGGTCTAATCCTAAAAAAAGTCTCCTTATGATGTCACTTACAACAGATCTTCCATCTGTCAAAATATAATTTAGTTATATAGTATACGAGTAAGAATTTTATAACTTTTCTCTTTGCTTGACATTCCCAATTCTTGTAATGTTCACAAAGAAGAGAAATTCAACATTAATTCTAAGATTTCTTCCAAAAACTTCTAGATTTGAAGTCCTCCACTGTTCAAAAAAGCTTGCAATGGCAAGCAACATGGCAGGTTTGTGTAATTGGCTCAACTTTTATTGTAAATTCACTGACTTAAATATGTTACAATTGCAAATAATTTTAGGAACAGTATTACATAGAAATCTTTTGTACAGATTCATTAGCTTAAGGGCTACATAACTCGTGAACATAGCATTGATAAAATAATTTGAGCAAAGAAAGGAATTTATTCAGTCTTGCTTTTGAAAGATTCATAATGTTAGTAAATGTCAACTGAATTCAGTGGAATATTTTTTCATACCAAGCGTCTTACCCTTCTTCAATTTGCGAACAGCTAACATACAATGGCTAGGAGATAAATCCCATATTCTTAAGGTTTTGTCATCACTTACAGTGGCACAAATAGGTAAATGAGGATGAGTAGCTAGACCCCAAACTTCCCCCTCCATGTGACCCTGAAAAAACACAATGAATCAGATGACTTTGTATTTTAAACTGAAATATGAAATAATACATTTAAGGCAGTTTAAAAAAAAACAACAGAGAAAGAACATGCATATCTTCAGAGTATCATAACGAAGTATCTGAATAGAAACATAGAACACCTGAAAAAACCCTCACCCTGCTACTTACAGTAAAAGTACAAATTACAGTAATTCGTACTAGGGAAAACTTTTCCCTTAGAAATAATGTGTGTCATTGACACACATCTATGTCAATGACATAGACAGTGGGGTTGACTGCACCCTCAGCAAGTTTGCAGATGACACCAAGCTGAGTGGTGCGGTTGACACAGCAGAGGGATGGGATGCCGTCCAGAGGGACCTGGACAAGCTGGAGAAGTGGGCCCGTGTGAACCTCATGAGGTTTAACAAGGCCAAGTGCAAGGTCCCGCACCTGGGTCGGGGCAACCCCTGGTATCAATCCAGGCTGGGGGATGAAGGGATTGAGAGCAGCCCTGCCCAGAAGGACTTGGGGGTACTGGGGGATGAAAAGCTGGACATGAGCCACCAATGTGCGCTCGCAGCCCAGAAGGCCAACTTTATCCTGGGCTGCACCAAAAGAAGCGTGGCCAGCAGGTCGAGGCACTTGCCTGTCTTCAGTCAGTGAATGCAATGACTTTATTTTTATTAAGGGATTATTTACAAAAAAGTAATTGTAGG